AAAAAATAAATACATGTTTACATTAATTTAACCTTGGCATTTCGTAAATTGAAGAATAATAAAATAAAATACCAAAAACCACCAAATTAAGAAACTCAACATTCCCAAATTGAAATATCTCAAGAATCGAGCCATATCAATTTGTTTGGCATTTATTATGTTCGTGCGTACGAATGTTTTCTGAATGTCAAATTAAAAGCCGAACAATAAAATCAACTTGAGTACGAATGGCTAATTGCTGAGCAACTGTGCTTTTATGACTCCTTCCTCGGATTTAGCCACGTTAACTTATCGCGAATAACAAGAGGAATTTCTTAACTTATCAAGACATAATTTCATTTAACAAATTATGATGATATGGCGTAATAAAGACGAGGCTATAATTCAAATGAAAAGTACACTATACTTACAATAAATTCATAAATATTTATATGAGATTATGCAAGCGCCGAATAGTTATACAGTTTTTTCCCCACTATTTATCGTTTTTATTAAGCAGGGAAATTTTTTTTGGGATGTTTTGGATTGATGGCTTTGTAAAGGGGCATGTCGAGGGAGAAGGGAGCGTGGGTGAACATATGCAGTATATATATCGAATCGACTTCTATATCCTTTTGTTAGTATGTTCGTTCTTCTTCTTCTGCATATCTGTTCTTCTATGTCTCCTTCTGCCTATTTATTCTTTTGACAGTCTGTCTGTCTCTGGGTCTACCTGACGGTCCTTCCGTCCGACCGTCATTATATCTGTCCATCCTTCTGTATGTCCGTTCTTCTGCCTGTATATCCGTTCTTCCGTTTATTCCTCATTCTGCCTGATCTTCCTTCTTCGTCCTCTTTTCAGTCCCTATTTCTCTTCTTCTTGTGTCAGCCTGTCTGTATTTCTATCTAACTGATCGTCCTTCTCTCTGTCCGTCATTCAATCTATCCACCTTTCTGTATGTTCTACTTGCTGTCCATCCATCAATCTGTCTGTCCGTCATCTGTCCGCTATATTCTTTCTCCGTTCGTCCTTGTATTTGTTCATTCCATCAAACTGTCTGTCTATATGTCTCGCAACCTTGGCATTACAAGTGAGGGCCCCACAGCACGCGATGATCAGGTTTCTATTAAGTTTGTATTACATCAACGATAATTTAGTTCAATTAATTCTCTGAAATCAATTAAAATTGTTAACAATCTAAATTTTCTTAAGCATATATTGAATGTCTTTAGAGCTAAATTGATTTAGATTTAAGTTATATACAAATTATGATTACTTCCCATCTAGATGCCTCCCCTCACTTTTCCATTTTTGAGTGTGCAGGGTATATTCTAGTCGACCTAGCAGCTTACTAGACCATTTTAACTGGATGTATTTATTCTAATTTCGTTTACGTGCCTGGCACACATTACAACTTTGCCGCTGACTAATTGAAATGAATATATATATATTTATATATGTATATGTACGCAGTGGACAGCTAGCAATCAAATTTAATTTGTCATTTAACAGCTGAAAATTGATTTGTCTACTCTAATTGAATAACTTTCAAAATCAGCCCAGCAAATTGGCGATTTATTCACATGCTAACTTTTTTAGTGCACTTCGCTGGGCACTCACAAATTTGCATTGACGTCAACGAAACTTTTGTAATTAATTATATTACTAATTGGGAGAATCGATTAACTAAACTTGATCCGAACTTTTTACTCATTTGCAGACTTTGTGTTGCCACAACGTGTGATATTGGCCATAATGGGCTTTCTGGCCATCCTGAATGCCTATACGATGCGCGTCTGTCTCTCTCAGGCCATCACGGTGCTCGTCATCAAGAAGAACAGCTCGGAATCTGAAGACGGCGGCTCTGCGATCTGTGAAGCCGATGATTTGGATAATGGCGCCTCCTCCGATAGCGGTATATACGATTGGTCCGAGGAGCTGCAGGGCCTGATTCTGTCCTCGTTCTACATTGGCTACATTGTCACCCATGTGCCCGGCGGTCTGCTCGCCGAGAAGTTTGGCGGCAAATGGACTCTCGGCCTGGGCATTCTATCGACGGCTGTCTTCACGATGCTCACCCCGCTGGCCATTGAGCAGGGCGGCTCCGACTGGCTGATTGTGACGCGTGTCCTGATGGGCCTGGGCGAGGGCACCACATTCCCCGCATTGAGTGTCCTGCTGGCTGCCTGGGTGCCAGCCAACGAGCGTGGCAAGCTGGGCGCCTTGGTCCTGGGCGGTGGTCAGGTGGGCACCATTATGGGCAACCTGCTATCGGGCGTCTTCCTCGACGAGTTCGAATGGCCATTTGTCTTCTACTTCTTTGGCGGTCTTGGCGTCATTTGGTTTGTCATCTTCGTAAGTATCCTCACATGTTTTATATTTCCATTTAATTTTTAATATAGCTTAAGAAAAGTAGAGGAAGATGAAAACTTTATTTTCTCGTTTTATTTTGTAAAGTTTCTGCTCATTCTTTAGAAATGAGTATTTATTTAGTATTTTTTCTAATTGATTTCAAAAAAAAAAATTTTTTTTAAATTTTTTCTTAGTTCAATTAAGATTTAATTTTTTTGTTATTACATTTTGTATTATATTATTATTTTTTGTTTTTATATGATTTATGGAAGTTCTAGTAAAATGAATGCATGAATCTAAATCCAAATACTCTAATTTGGTATTTTAATACTGAAATTTAGTATTATTATATACATTTTGAATTAGGTTCTCATACTAACTAAGTCAAGGACGACAATTGAAATTCATCAATGTCGTTTTCATTTGTTTGTTTTCATGAATAAAATTAGCAATGCTTATTAAAATTCCTGATCTTTTTAGTTTCACCTAATATTTTATACTTTACTATACTATCTGCTTCAATCCAGTATTTTGGCTTCTTAACCTGTTGTTCGACAAGTTCATTATAATATTTTATACGATACTATTTATCATACACTTTTATGTAAATTTTGTTCTTTTGTTTGTTTTTTTTTTTTTTTATCTAGTATAAACTAGTTAGATTCACTTTTTTAAATGGACAAGAATGTCTGTAGCTTAATTGGGCATAGCTAATCCATTTCAGTATTTTGCTAAAGTCATATTTAAAAACTATTTAGTACAAATATTTATAAGTATATTTTAATAAAAAGGTAGTACCTAAACTGTTATATGATCTGCTTCTAACACAACTGTACACAATTTGCTTGCAGATCTTCCTCTGCTTCAGCGATCCCATGAGCCATCCGTTTATCAAGCCCTCGGAACGCGAATATCTGAGCAAGGAGATTGGAACAATTGGTCGTAACGATAATCTGCCGCCGACACCCTGGAAAGCCATCCTCACCAATCTGCCGATGTTTGCGCTGGTCTGCGCTCAGATCGGTCACGATTGGGGCTTCTATATCATGGTGACGGATTTGCCCAAGTATATGGCCGATGTGCTGCAGTTCTCGATCAAGGCCAACGGCCTGTACTCCTCCCTGCCCTACGTGATGATGTGGATCGTGTCGGTGGGCAGCGGCTTTGTGGCCGATTGGATGATTCGTCGTGGCATCATGAATACGACCAACACGCGTAAGGTGATGACTGGACTGGCCGCCTTCGGTCCAGCCATCTTCATGGTGGGCGCTTCCTATGCCGACTGCGATCGTGTCCTTGTCGTTGTCCTCTTCACCATCTGCATGGGCCTGATGGGCGCCTACTATGCGGGCATGAAGCTCAGTCCCCTGGACATGAGTCCCAACTATGCTGGCACCTTGATGGCCATCACGAACGGAATTGGAGCGATAACGGGCGTGGTGACGCCCTACCTGGTGGGCGTGATGACACCAAATGCCACGCTGCTCGAATGGCGCACCGTCTTCTGGGTGGCCTTTGCCGTACTCTTCATCACGGCCATCATCTACTGCATTTGGGCGTCCGGCGAAGTGCAGCCCTTCAACGATGCAATCATCGAGCCACGCAACGTCGACTTCGAGGCCGAGGAACGTAAGCCGCAGCCCAAATTGAAGGCCCTGGAGCAGAGCTCCTAGATCCAATCAGATCCAAAGTGCCATAGCCTAAATGCTCCAAACCATGTGCGTGTGATGTTTTCGTCCACCTGTTGAATTTCGAGAATTTTGTTGTTATGGAACCGCCAGAAGACATTGTTAATGTGCGATTCTCTATTGCAATTGCTAGTTTTATAGTATGCCAAAATGTCGGCCCCCAGTGCGCTGTCTAACTAAGTATATATATACATGTATGTCTATATCTATTGTAAGTTATAAGATTTTAGCTGCAGTTATGGCCCCCCCAAAAACCTCCCTAGTCCCAGTCCCTTGTAACTTATGCCTGTTATACGTAGGATAGATTTGCAATCCAATCACCCGTCCCAGCCGCCCACCTCCCACCAGCACCTGCAGCAATTTACTCTCTTAATTATTATTTAGTATTTAAACGCAACAGCAAAAAAAATCCAATTTTAGTTAAGCGGAACAAAAAAGAAAAACAATAAACAATAATAAGATAGCATGTACCTAATTTGCATTGCAAAATGCAAATTGCAAAATGTAAAATGAAGATGAAAAAAAAAAAAAAACAAAACATTCTGTTTAAATATTGTACGAAATTTTTTAATTGTTGATCAATGTGTAATACATGTGCTCTTAACTTTAAAGTTAAGACATAATTGTTTTTATAATGTTAGTCCAAATAAAGTGCATAAACTAATACAAAAACTTTGGCAATTTTTATTATTTTTTCTGAATGTTATTATATCTCGCTGATAGAATTTTTGAAAAAGTGGGAGTACTCTAGTATTTCAACTAGAAGAAAGCCTATCATGATCTATTTTTTTTTTTTAAATTTCCTATTAAATAACAAGTAAGAAAGCTCTAGTCGAGACTGCTCGACTACGAGATCCCCTGAACCCTTGGAGTGCTAGCTATTTCAATAATTTTTCGCGTCTTTCATCTTACACAAGAAACACACACACATACACAAACACATACACACACAAGCACCCAGGCATAAACACGCATGGGCTGCAGTGTGCGCTTACTATGAGAACTTAATTGTTTAATAACTTTTTTTGTGGAAGTACGATCTTCATGAAACTTTCAGATTATGATTATAACATGAATATGCATGTAATTGCCAAAGCACATGTCTCTAGTATTTGAAATACGCGTTTTACAAAAGTGAGGGTGAGGGGGTGAATTTNACGGACAGACGGACAGACGGACAGACGGACAGACGGACAGACAGACAGACGGACAGGGCCAAATCAACTCAGCTCGTCACCCTGATCAAGAATATATATACTTTGTGGGGTCTGCCACGCCTCCTTCTGCCTGTTACATACATTTCAACAAAACCATTATACCCTGATTTCCCATTTTCAATGGGTTCAGGGTATAAAAATGTAAAGTAGTACAAATTATATAATTTGTGGAAAAGAGAAACATCCTTGCCTTCATAGAGAAAAAAATAAAGAAAGAATGATTTTACCAAGAATATTTTTACAGAGTAAGGAGAGGCTTTTAATAAGATAAAAATATAAAATATGTAGTTAAAATTATATATTTATTTTTCTTTGTTCTCCCTTTTGACATTTTCTTAAAATTGTCACTTTGTCTTTTATAGGCAGCTATTACTGTATTGCATTGCTGTACAAGCATCTATAACTCAAATGACATCATATCTGAGTTGTGATTTATTTCACATAAATTTAGATTTTTAATTAGGTATTTCGTTTTTTAATTTTTTATTATATTTGTATATTTTAACAAAATGCCACAAGTGCAGCCAAAATTACGCAAGTTTTTTGACTGTGAGTAGCGAAGCGGAAATGGGGCTATATAAAGCTTAATCGTTATAGATCTGCAGGTGCGACAGCGCTTGGTACTCTGCGCCTTTGCCCTGTTGGCCATTGTGAATGCCTACAGCATACGCCTGTGCTTGGACTTCTCGCTGAGCCGCATTGCCAGGGACTGCAATGAATTGGCCGCTGTCCAATTGGAAAATGCGCCGAGTACGTGGCGAAAGGCTCCGAAGGTGAATTCGGATAGGGCGCATGGTCGATATGCGGCGAATAAGGTATTGGCCGCTATAAATGCCTTTGCGGCGAAATTTCACTCAACGGCGAATAGTCCATATGCGTCGAGAAATGTCCGTGAGGTGAGAATCAATCAAAGGGCAAGAGCTGGCCATAAGGAGAAGCCGGCTCGTCCGACGCGACAGCCTCGCGACAGACAGACGAGACAATCGCGTCGTTTGGCAAGGAATGCTCCGACGCCCTCGTATCCAAGGCAAAAGAGTGGCATGTCATGTGAGACACAGATGTATCAGCATCCACGTCGAGAGCCGGAGCCCATTACCGTGACTAACAGTGCCGACATATGGACCAAGGAGGTGCAGGTGCTGATCACAATATCCTTCTATGTGGGCTATATGATCACCCACATTCCGGGCGGACGGCTGGCGGAGCGTTACGGCGGCAAATGGATCTTGGGCGCTTCGATACTATCGTCGGGTATCTTAACCCTGCTCACGCCCACAATCGTGCGCCATGGAGGACCCAAATCAGTGATGCTGCTGCGCATGGTGATTGGCCTATTCGAGGGACCCACGTTTCCGGCTGTGAGCGCGATGCTGGCCCAATGGGTGCCGGAGAAGGAGCGCGGAAGGCTGTGCAGCTCGGTGCTGAGCGCCGGCGAAATAGGCATTATATTTATGCACCTGGTCAGTGGGTTTACGATCGACGAGCAGGACTGGGCAGTGGCCTTCTATGTGGTTGGCAGTGGAGCGATTCTCTGGTTCATGGGCTTCGTAAGAGATCTCTGCCTGATTGGCTACAGATAATGTGATTGATCCTTTGCAGGTTGTGGTCTGCTATAGCAAGCCGGATGACTCTCCGTACATACAGAACAGCGAACGGGAGTATATCAAGAGTCAGGTATGCGAAACACTGGAAACGGAGGCTGGCGATGCCAATGAGGCTGTGCCCTGGAGCAACATGCTGATGAATGCACCCATTTGGGCGCTGATTGCGTCCAACATGCAGCACGATTGGAATCAACAGGAGTTTGCCAAGGAGCTGGAGCAGATGCTGCTTGACTTGGAGGCCAAGGGCAAATCCTATTGGAACGAATTGGAGACCAGCATTCGCCTGATGGCGCCACATCTCTACAGCTGGCTGGCCTCCCTCACATCCGGCTCGTTCAGCGACTATCTGATTTCCGAGGGCATCCTGAATCGCACACAGACGCGTCGCCTAATGTCCTGGCTGGTCTTCATTAGCGTAACCATGTATTTCATCCATGACAAGGAGAGCTCGGCCCGACCTTGGAGCATCCTGGCCTTTGGCGCCTATTATGCGGGCATCAAGCTGCTGCCCCTGGACATGAGTCCAAACTTTGCCGGCACCTTGATGGGCATCACCAATGGATTGGGTGCACTGCCCGGACTGGTGTTGCCCGTGCTGGAGAAACTGGAGGAGGAATACGCCATCATTGGCAGCATTCGAGCAACCTTGTGGTTTATCTGTGCCGGCTATATATCGGGCGAGGTGCAGTCCTACAATCGATTGGAGCCTACGGCAAATCGTTCCTGAGCCCAATTGTTGTTATTGTTTTTCTTTTGTAGTTAGAAATGTTTATAATTTTTTTAAAGCTAGGCTAACATTTAACTATATTATATAGTTTTCGCTTAGGCAATACTATACATATATATACATACTTATATGTACATATATATAGAAATACACGAAAAGATACTTAACAGTTGTGTTCTACGTTTCATTATAGAGGACTTTCATTGCTAAAACTAAAGCACAATAACTAAAATAAGATTTTCCATATCTTTTTATGTGTCTTGTGGATATATAACAGGGATGATCATTTCATTTCATTGATTAGTCTATGTGTGTTTGTCTGTCTGTCTGTCTGTCTGTCTGGCTGTGTGCGTCGATTGGGAATAGGTCAGTGTAAATATACTTAGGTAGCACACACAACGTCAGTTGAAACGCATTTAAATGCTTGCTTATTTGGCTGCCATCGTCCCACCATATCGCGTGGAGGCGGTGCTGGTGGGGGCCAATCATTGCTGTCCTGTACTCGTCTACTGTCGTCTCGTCTACATGGCTCCCTGTTGCATGAAACCGGATTGGGCCATCGCCGACACGGAGTTCATGTCGATGCCCAGCTTGCGGGTGACATTGATTTGAGCTAGCGCCGCATTACGCAGCGAGTACACATGGACCAGCTCCGCCTGGCTCTTGGCATAGAGCAGCGCCTTCTCAAACAGTTCAACAGCACGCCGCAGCTGGGCGCGCTGCACCTCAACGGTGCCGAGCGTCTCGTACGCCAGCTCGCACTTGGGATCCACTTCGATGGCACGATTCAGCAGTGATACAGCGGCATCGATGTCGCCGCGCCACTGCAGCATCATGATCGCCTGGTGGACGAGCAGGGCAGGATTTGTGGGCGCCCGCTTCATGGCCATATCGTAGAAGTTCTGTGCCTGCGGGAACTGCTGCTGATCGGCCAGCACCTGAGCCATCAGACTGTAGCACTCGACACAGTCCGGGAACTTTTTGATAGCCAGCTCGAAGTCCTTGATCACGCGCTCCAGGCTCTTCTGATCGCCGGACATCAGTGCCAAACGGTACTCGGCATAGCATTTCTGTACATTCGCAATGGCATGATTGGGCGCTAGGCGCACAGCCTTGTCGAACTCCACCAACGCCGCGTCRATCTGCTCCAGCAGCAGCAGGATCTGTGCACGCTGATGATATACATCTGGATTGTCGGGCGTCAGTTTCTCGGCTTCCGCAAAGTCAGCCAACCCCTTTTCACGCTCCTCCGTCTGAATGAATAACGCAGCACGTCTAATATACGCATAGGTCCGCAGTGTGATATCCGCATCGGCTAAAAAAGAGATTGCCATTAGAGAAGGAATGCATTGTTCATATCGAATCAGGGGATCGATTCAGTTACCATTCGCCAGAATGGCGTCAAAGTCGAGCTTGCTGTCGGCAAAGGAGCCGCACAGCAAATGGAATGTGCCGCGCATTAGCAGCGCCTCCACCTTGTACTGTGATTCCGCTTCTGAGGACTCAATTTCTTCGGTACATGCCGCAATGATCTCATCGTATTTCTGTTCGTCGAACGCACGTCGAGCGCGTATAAAACCGCGCGGCGGCGCATCATTTTCCGTTGGTTCAGGCAGGACCAGCGTCTGCAGGGGATCGGCTATAAAGGAACGCATGTAGGTGTCAATGAAGCTGGACGAGGGCACCACGGGCACACGATCCCTCAGACCCTTTTCGGCGTCAATGCGGCCCGTCTCCTTCAGCACGCGATCGGCGAACATGATGGTGTTGTTGTTCTGAAACATCTCCAATATACAGGTGGCTGTGACATCGTCCAGGCACTCGGTCATATCTCTGGTGGCCTCATGGGCACGCGCCCGCCTATAGTAGGCCTTGGCATAGCGCGGATTATATTCCAGCGACAGGGTACAATCCTCCTTGACCTTGTTCCACTTCTTCAGCATTTCGTAGGACGCAGCACGATTCTGATAAAAGATTGCCATATCCGTGCGATGCTCGGTGGGACACTTGTCAATGGCCTTGTCGTAGAAGCTAATTGCCTCATCGTATTTGCCATTCCTGTAGCAATTGTTGCCCTCCGTCTTGTAGTTGTTGGCCTCCTTCAGCGGCGACATCTTTTCGCCCAGCTCGGCTGATTTCTTCTTTTGCTCCAGCTCCGCATCTGTGGCGGTGCCATCAATGGACAGATTCTGCTTCTCGATTTTGCCCTTTTGTCGCGTTTTGCCGGCATCACTGGAGTTGCCCGGCGTCTTCCCGCTTTTGGCGCCGTCGCGGGAGCTTCGATTCAGCACGTACATGCCCAGGCCGATGGCCAGGGGCGTGCCCAAGATGAGGGCCACTTGCCATTTGTTTAGTTTGACGGAGTTGATGTTCAGGAACGTTGCCATTTGTGGGCCTTCCTAAATGTGTGTGCAGCTTGTAGAAACTGCAAAAAGACGAAAACATTGTGTAATAATCACTGCCCGGTCGTCTTATCATACGCACTGGGGGCTCTGAGCGCTCAGAGCGCGAATAGCGGCGATTCGCTAAGTATATACCGGGCGGGGGGCCCACGATTTTGGCAGCTTTAGCTTTGCCCTTCCCCTTATTGATTTTTAACACATGGTTGGGGGGGATTGAGTGTGGGTGGGCGACCATTGGCTACTCACGTTTGTCTTGTAATTTAACACTGCAATGAATTTTGCAAATATGAACTGTTGCTTGAATGCTTTTTAGTGAAAAGTAAATAAAAATTAATATTATGGAATACAACTAGCCTGCTTAGAAAATAGAACACACCGAAACTGCCGAACAGCTGCGTAACTGTTGAGCTGTTGAACGGCTGTTAGGCACATGTGACAACTGGATGTAGCGTGCTGCGGAAGCTCTCTGCTATGAGACTCTCTTAAAGCATTCACCGTTAACAGAATATGACATTGTGATAACAGTTCAATTCATATCAGAGTTAACAGATATTCTTACTTAGCGTGTCAAAGACAGTGTGAATCGACTGCAGCATAAGAATATGCATATACATATGTATGTACATACATATGTGTATGTAACTATATTTAATGTTTCTACTTAGCCGCCTCACAGAAAGATGCGTTTATTGCGTATATGCGAGGCTAAGGCTTGAGCATTATTTCCTCGTCGATACTAATCAGACATTTTGCATTGAAGTTTTGCGATAACAAAAACAAAGGAGAATTTGTACAAAGGTACATATGTATGTATGTATGTACATACATATATGCATGTGGTTGACGATCGCAAGGCGCAGAGCTGAGTGCAAATGAGTTCAACTAAAAGGCTAAAAATATGTACACACATACAAACTCACACAGTGCGGGAGGGAGATGCAATCCGATGCAACACAAATATGAACAAAGCTTTTTCTGACTGTGTGCAGGGTGTGTGTGTGAGTTGTGCATACGAGGCCCACTTCCAATAAATACACAATAAAGTCTCTATATTAGTTTTCATTTTTATTTGATAAATTATACCTAAAGCAAACTTCATAATTTGAAACGTACTAAGCTTAAGACTAAATTATAAGTCCGTAACTATATGTATTAAGTTTAGGAAATTGTAGAAACTAGAACTATACTATATTCAAATATGTACGTAATTCCAGTGTTTTTTCAGCGACAGCCGACAGTGCCAGCTGCCGCCGAAGCAGCTTCAATTCTCTTTCCTCCCTTTTCCTCTTGGGTTGCTTTCAGTTGCTTTTAAATTTCTTCCTTATGCTCTTTCCTGTTTTCTTTGATTTGCAATTTCAATTCAGTTTTTTCGTTCTTTTTTTGTTTTCTTTTTTCACACTCTCAAGTCTCTCGATGTGCTAGTGTCTCTTTTTTTGTACACCTGGTGTATCAGTTTTTCAAAATCTTTTTATTATTGTTGGTGTTCATGAGCTTGGTTAAAATTTTCCTCGAGTGGCCCGACGGGTCAAAGTGGTTGGTGTGCTCGCTGGCCTCCTTCTTGGAGCGCTGTTTGCCGCTGTGGCCCGAAAAGATGTGTTTGCCATGGTCGAAGTTGTAGTGCTCGTATTCATCAAAGTATGCCTCAGACATGTTGCTTGTTTCTTCTTATATATGTACGTATGTATATAATTGAGATCTTGTTTATAATTGTATGTATGGCCTTTCAGTTGTTGTTTCTCTCTCCAGATTTTTCTTTTTGGATGAAAGTTTTTATTTTTGTTTATGCGTTACTTCCACTGGTTTTTAGCTACGACGTTGTCACAGTAAAGTACAAATGGAAATTGAACTTTTTATCGCATACGGCCACCTGCTTATATACTACCCGGCCAGAGCTTTTTCTCGAACCGCATACGAGGTTTGATGAGCTGCTCTCTCTCGCTCGCTGATTCTCTCACAAGCGCCTGCCCTGTTGACAATTCAGCGGTGTTTTTCGATTTGGAATATTATTTTTAACAGTTTTTCATTTACCTGATTTGAATGATTTATTTATTTTTTAAATCTGTAATAATTTAAATTAAAGCAAACGCTTTTTCAATTTGGGCAGTGATTTGCCTGACTTTTAGCTCCAAATAAACGGTTCATAGTTTGTTTATACATGACCAAAACTGAATACATTTTCGAATAGTTAGTTACCCCAAAAGTAAGCTAGCGCCTACTAAGATAAGCCACAAATTCATTTTGAGTTTTATGTAAACTCTGGAAGTTTCTATGTCATTTGCTATTGGGTTGTTGGTTGCTCTGCTTGTTGTCTCTCTTTCGCTCGTAAAACACGTATGAGCTAAAGTTCTGAGAGAGAATGAGAAGCTTTCCTCAATAATTGCTGCGCAATTTAATTTTTGTTGTGTTTACAAAATGCGCGGTAAACAAAAAAAAAAGGAAGAACAAAAACAGAAACGCAACGTCAAACACATTTTTCGCCTCGTACATAAATTATTTTGAATGTATTTCATAATAGACACGTTTTTTAATATATGTATATACATACATTTTATATACGTATGTACATACATACGTATGTCTGTATTTAAGTGCGAGTGTATGCAATTGTTCTTGACGCCACGTCAGTGGCCGGGAGAGTGCACATGTGTATGTTTGTGTATATGTGTGTCTTTTGTTGCATCATCATTATGATCGAGTATCAAGCACATGTTGCATTTCCAAGTCACTGGCCGGCTCATTGCCAAAAATTTTCCGTTACAACTGAAATGTCAATATAGAGGAAAACAAACTGAATGCTTATCCCCAAACAACAAAGACCAGACATGTGTGACAGCACGTAAATTCAATATGTGTGTACATACATATGTATGTATATAAATATATACATACACATTGTATGTATTTTTGCGTGTTAGCTTAAGAACGAAGGCCTGCCCCACGTCGGCTGACGCTCTCCTGCCCGCTGACCTACTTTCCTCTTTTGCTCATAAGGTTTACATATGTTTAGAAAAGAAGCTTTTAATTTGATAAGTAGACCATTTGTTTATATAAATGCAATTCTTACGTATCCGACGTGCCGGTGATAAGCATTGTTTACCGCTATCAGCTGGCAGACATATTACTCATTCAACACCTCGGGCTTTCTCGAGCTATACCGAATCAAAAGTTCAACGTGCTTCAAAAAATAAAACTTCGAGAAACATCGTAATAGAAGATTCCCGAAGCTCAAACGTTTTTGTTTTTGTTATTCTTAATTTCTCGAATTGATCAGTGTACTGGCCTTGAAGTGTTGTAAAAGCTGAAAATGTTGATTAGGTTGTTGTCTACGCTGAGCTTAAAAGCGCTTTTCATTTGGGTGCGTGTCTTAGCTAGGCAGGGTAAGCAATTTTAAGATTGTTTACAAATTTTAATAATCAAAAGATTTTAAAATAAGACAAAGTTCTTGATGTAGAGTATTTGACACAACCCGTCAGCGTTTTACTGAACTGCCGCAATGCTTTGGACGTTTATGTGTTGCCCCTTGACTGCCAGCATGTCCGTGACTTGATCAATTAGATTGATCATCAATTGGCTCTCGCCGTGATTGAACAGATTGCTCTCTGTGCGCCCCTTAAGTATGCATTGGCGCATCTCCTCCATTTCGTAGCACATGCCAACACGGCTGTCGAAATACGTTGGCCGATCAGTACTTGGCAATTTGAACTTGATTTTCTTATTATTAAATAACAATAATGTGGGACACCAGAAGCTGTTCATCTGAAATGATTAAGAGGAAATGATTAAGAAGTTAGCTTCCTTTTTTGTATATCATTCTAAGAACTTACTGTGACGGAGCCTTTGGTACCGCGTATGCTGGCCATATTCTCCAGATTCTTCTCGGCGCTGAGTTCCAGAATAGCGCACCGATTGTTCTTAAACCACAGCTCTATTTCGGCGGCTACATCAACGCCCCCATCATTGAGCTTGCCCGCAGCCTTCACAAACATCGGCACCTCCCTATAGATCCATAACGCTAGCTGTATGCAGTCAGCCGCCCAGTTCTTTGTCACGCCCGCATAGGTCGCCCTGCTGGTCTGGGCGATGGGCAGACGCCAGCCCAATTGACACTTCACGTCATAGACTGTGCCTAGTTTCTGTTTCATGATCTCGCTGCGCAAGCACTGATAGGCGGGCAGACAGCGCGACCAGACACCCTCCATCAGAAACAAACCACGTGCCTTAGCCTTGCCCACTAGTTGAGCCACTTGCTGCTCATCCATGCAGAGTGGCTGTTCGCATAGGACGTGCTTGTCATGGTTGAGCATCAGGTGACACAGCTCGCAGTGCATGCAATTCAGCGGAGATATATAAACGGCATCTGCAATATGCTCAAAATGTAACAGCTGTATCTGTATCTGTATCTGTATCTGTATCTGTATCTGTATCTGTATCTATATTTGTATCTGTATCTGTATCTGTATCTGTATCTGTATCTGTATCTGTATCTGTATCTGTATCTGTATCTGTATCTGTATCTGTATCTGTATCTGTATCTGTATCTATATTTGTATCTGTATCTGTATCTGTATCTGTATCTGTATCTGTATCTGTATCTGTATCTATATCTCTATCTTACCAACATCTGGGCAACGTGCCAGATCCTCAAAGCTGGTAAAAACATTGGGCACCTGATAGCGATTGGCAAAGGTGAGTGCCTGTGATCGATAGGCGTCCATGCAGGCGGTGATGTAGTGGCTGTCCGGTGGCAAAACCCCGATTGCGGTGGCAAAGTCTTCGGCCAAGAGATTGACGGGCGCAATGCCCCAGCGTAGTTTCCGTTGCGATTCGCCTGAGTTCCATTTAGATTCGCTCTGCCTTGTGCTCTGTCTACGAAGTGCATCTGGCCTCATATGGTGCATACAACGTCCAGCCAAATCTGCGAATGAGGTGGGGTAAAGAGTGGAAAGGCGGACAGATTAGCTGAGCCATTGCCATCTATAACGAAAACTACGTCGAACTGTGGAGCGAGTCGCGTAAAACGCATTTCATTCATACAAATCGCAATTGCATGGTTTGTTTTATTTTTATACTCATTCACGAAAGTAAAATGAGTATATTGGTTTTGTGCAATTTGGTATGTATATGAGTATGGAAAATGAGTAGTAGTTGTTCGCCTGTTAGTTCATAAAAATGTTCTATAAAGTTTTGATCTCAGGGGCCGCAATAGCCGATCGATGCGGAGATAAAAGGAAACGACGCGTCTGTTCTACAATTCATACAAATTTTTAGCCATTTGTATGAGAATTTCGCACGTTTCAGAGATTTTAGTAGTATGAGGACTTTGCAGTCGGTAATGCCCGACTGCAACGTTCTTGTTATTTATATACATTTTTTTTTTGCTTTTTCCACGAATTGGCGAAATTGCGGGTGTTGCTGTTCGTTGTCTATCCATCCCCAACAGGTTACTAGACGAAGTCTCTGTCTCTGTCTCAGTCGCAGTCGCTGTCGCCGTCGGAGTCGCCGTCGGGGAGTGGCAGACAGACAGACTGAGAGACGAAGGCGACCAGCCCATCTATGTCGAAACGAAGACGACGATCGCATTATGCGGCACTGTTTAGTGCGCGCCAGCCTCAGTTCCTCCATAATTAGTCATATTTGTTTAGCATCAAAAGTTGTGAATGACTTCGCCAGCCTGGCTGCCAGTGGATCAGCGGCTCTTAGCAGTCAGTGATGAGCCGCTGAGCACGACTCAATGTGGGCATAATCCAAACGGAATTGAATAAGTATATATAAAGTATTTATATAAGATGTGATTAGATATATGATTACTGTGAATATGCTTCAATTTATATCATAATATTATTATGTAATTTCAGCACTTGTTGACCATCATCAGCTTTTGATTAGTTAAGCTACTTTTTTTTTCAAAATCCTAACTAAAAGCAAAGTTTTCAATTTACTATTATATGTTATTCATATAAGATAATATCTGTCAGATTTTGGAAATATAAAATGAGTTTTTTGTCACCAAATAATTTTTGAATATATAAAATATATAAAATAATATTCTTAGAAGCTTTTACAATATAGCATTGATAAAAGCCTTTAGACTTCGATAAGATTTCAATTTAAACATTATGTTAAGGCCGTTCAAATGAACTTTTAGTTAACAACTTGTGTTTAGTTTATAGCTTAATTTATTCTTAATCTGCTGAATTTTTCTGCGATGCGAAATTCATATCGATGTTCTAATGAGCTTTTGAAGCTTAAAGTTTCTTATAAAACAGATAGTAGTTTTAAGTAGCTTTAAGCTTAAATGACCAAAAGACATTAGCTTCGCTACAGTTGTATGAATAGCGCTGTTTTTGAAACTTATCTGACAGCTATCAGCTTGACAAATCGTGCTCGTGACACGACACGAGCTCAGCTCGACTGAGTGGCAGCTGAGTGGCTGGTCCTGGCCAACTAAGGCGCTGCACGTTGAGCGGCCATTAGGCGGCGCACTTTACGCTTAACGCTTACACTGCGTTCTGTCAGCGCTGGATTTTCACTTTCTTTTAGAAACCGTTGATGTTTGTTTTTGTTGCTATTGCTGTTGTTTCTGTTATTTTTGTAATTTTTTCACTTTTCAATAATTCGAATTTCGAATGCGTGCAACAATGTAGCCAAAGTGCGAGGAGCTCTGACGGCGCGCCGTAGGCCAAACCAAAAACAAAAAACCAAAAAGCAAAAGCAAAAAGCGCATGAAACACAAAATTTGTTTATCTAATTAGCTATGCACCGGGCGACAACAACATTTCACTTGGTTCATTGTGGCTCGATTTTCGCCAGCCTTAGCATGCATGGCAGGTGCCAACAGCGGCAACAGCAGCAACAGCAGCAGCGGCAGCAAATCGAAACTGCCCTAACCCAAATGCAAGCCAAGAGACAAATGAAAGTGTTCTACGCAAAGGTAGCGGAAGTTGTTGTGGGTGAAATTAATATTATGGCTAGTGAAAGGTTGCCTAATTTCAGATCGTTAAACGTGCACCGCGCACCACATTTCTGTCGAGCTGCCGCACTGCCTGAGCCTGAGCCTGTGCCTGTGCGTGAGCGTGTGCGTGTGCGTCTCTCTGATGACTCTTTCCAAGTAGCGACATGTTCATTAAAGCCGCACAGCACCATAAAACACAAACAACAACAACAACAAGAGCAGCAGCAAGAGCAAGAGCTGAAAGGAAAAACAAATTTGCATGCTGGCAACATAAATCGTTGCACAAAATATTTAACAAGTCAGCAGCAACAGTTGAAATCAATAAATTTATTGATACAATTTATATACGCGGCGCAGGACGTTCAACATGCAACACGCAATGCAGCGCTAATTAGAGGGGGGGCAGGGAGCGATAGGAGACTGCAACAAAACTAACCAAATGACCAACTTTGGCTGCCTCCATTTCTCATACAAAGCGAAGCCGACAAAATGCAGGGGCAAAGAGCTGAGTGGGGGTGTTTGTATGTATGTGTGTATGTATATAAGTGGGCGTGCCTGACAAACAATTTCATATTTACACCAATACAGCGCACTTGCTTTGCATTCTTTTGTGAAAGTCATGCAACGTCAAGTTCGTTGCCTAAGTCTTTTGTATTTGAATTTTTTCTTGCAATTTTTTGCCCAAAATTTCTGCAACATTTCGCTTTAATTAACACATCAAGCTAATGAGCCGGCCTCAAAACTAACAACAATATTGAATGATTGTCTCTTTATCCGTATGAGCTATTGTTGTTGTTGTTGTTATTGTTGTAGTTGTCGCAGTAAGCGCTTTAATAGCTTTACAAGTTTTATGCATGTCTCAAGTCGCGCGACGTCAACAAAACTCTTGGCAAAGACGCACACGCCCAAAACAGCGACCACAACAACCACAACAACAACAACGAATCGACAATAGCCAGAGCCCAGCATGACTGGACTGTCACAGTTTGTTGTTGTTGTTGTTGTTGCGGTTGTTGTTATTGTTGCTGCGGCTATTTGCCTTAAGCTCTTAACATATTTTTCAATTTCAGCACCAAAGAAATGTTGATTCAGTCAAATGCCAAAGATTGCTTTTTATGCAACACACATAAAACATGCCAATTGTACTTGTCCATGCAACAAAAGCGAAAGTTGGATCAGACATTGACCGCCCAAGTAGCAACAGCAGCACCGGCAACAACAACAACAACAACAACAAACTTCTTGGCCAGTTGAAGCAGTTGCAGCTCTTGAATAAGTTCAACCTAGAAAGTCTTATACGTGTATAAGTCTTTAAAGTATATAGTACCAATATATATATACAACTTTTGCTTTTGTTTTTTTTTTTTTTACATTCTTTTACATATTTTTGAAAGCCTGTCACAGCTCAATTGCTGAGTGTTTGGGTGAAATGTTATTTGTTGCTTGTGCCAAATAGCTGCAAGCTGAAACGTGTTAAGAATCTATTAACAATATAATAAGTTAACCTTATTTGGTTATAAGCAAAAGTGTGTTCAAAATATTTGTAAATTCTATTGACAGTCTGAACTACTTTGGCATAATTGAATAAACTTATTTGATATTGATTTGATGGTAATAAGCAAACAATAGTATATAAATAAAAGGTAAAATGTATAAATAATTAAAAAAT